AACCAAGACAGTAGAGCAATGGTTTCACTTCACGCAGGTTGGCGTTCAATCCTCCGACAGTCCACAAGTGGTTGAACACCATTCCTTTCCCCCGTCTTATCCCAAACCTTTATCCTGATCCCTTCTAAGTGCTTTATAGGTGTGATAAGCAAAACATATTATCACTACCCTTCCCTTCCCTTCGCTTTACGAAAGTTGCACACCTGGAGGTCGCTTCAATTTGCACAATGGGATGGGGGTCGTTTAATGTTGCAAAGTGTGGGGGATCGTTTCATATGGCACATTGGTGGAGCCGCTTCCAGTTGCACAGTAAGGGGGAGAGGGGGGGGGGTTCGCTTCATGTTGCACATGGAGGGGGGGTTAAGACGGGGGTGTTTCGTAAGGCATCACTACCGTTCCGGACTCACATTGTTGTCTCTGATTAAAACCAACATAGTCTATTGTCTCGTAAACAATTAACAGAGTTTTCTTCAATTTTTAAAACCTTCCCATTTCCCATAACTTCTTTTTTTCACAATTTATATAATTCCTTTCTCTCTTTGTATATTTATCTCCTTCACTTACTACGCCGAGTCTTCTGCATCTTCTGTTTCTCTCCCTCCCATTTTCACAAGCTCAGTCAAAATATCTCTTCAACTTCCTCTTCCATCGACTTTACGTACCCTTCCTACTTGCTGACCCCCTTCTCGTATCATGTCAATTTGCCTTCGTTTTTCGTTTCCTCTTCCAAGTCCTTTACCTCTTCTTTTCCCCTTTCCCTTGCACTTCTTCCCCTTTCCCTTATACTCCCCATATTTCCTCGTCGCCCATTCTCCTCCCTTCCCTAGTGACATGAATACGTGAATGAACTGTTAATGTACTGGCGGAGGTACAGAGGAGCTTCATGTTAAAGTCATTTTGGGGAGGGGGAAGCGAGGAGGGTGCGAGAGGGTGAGAGAGAGTGTGAGGGGTGTGTGAAAGGGTGTGAGGGGGTATGGGAGTGTGAAAGAATGTGAGAGGGTGTGAAAGGGGGTGTGAGAGGGGTGGGAGTAGGTGTGAGAAGGTGTGTGAAAGTGTGAGGGTGTGTGAGAGAGTGTGAAGGGTGTCAGAGGGTATGAGAGGAGTGTGAGAGGTGTGTGAAAGGGTGTGAGAAGGTGTAAGAGGGTGTGCGAGTGGGGGATATGAGGGTGGAGAGGTTAATATAGATCTAGGGTTTACTGTATCAAGGCTCATGGGTTCGGTTAGGTTCAGTGCAAGCAAACGAACTCAAGTGTTTTTGTGGGTATTCGTATGTGTTTTTGAGTTGCAGAATTGAGTTGATAGCTTCGGCACGTTGCCTCTCTTATCGTCGTTTTTTTAATGTATTTTCTCCTCTCCTGTTTTGTCTATTATATCTACTTATATTTCACACTCTCTCTCTCTTGCAATCAAGCACGCACAAACACACTCACGCAGGCACACACTCACGCGGGCACACGCACACACACACACATACACACGCACACACACACACACACACGCACACACATACGCACACACACACACGCACACACGCACAAACACACACACACACACACACACACACACACACACACACACACACACACACACACACACACACACACACACACACCCACACACACACTCATTCCAAGAATGCAGCCCATAACACCTGTCTAACTTTCAGGTGTCTATTTACTTCTAGGAGAACAGAGACATCAGGTGAGGGAAACTCCACTTTTTTGGTCTCGAATGGATTGCGGTTCCCTAAATTGTGAATGAATGACTATTTGACCGAGAGATCCCCCTGTAATTAATAGTGTTCACCTATTTATGCATACAAAGTCGAGCAATAGATCCAAAGCCCTGATTTTATATATATTTTGATCCAGTTGATGCAACGAATTTCATTCCCCCTTGTTTTTCTCTTTAAGCTGCTTACTGAATTTCCTTCAACAATATCCATTTGTTCCTCGTTCCAGTTATTCTAACTCTGAATACATGTTTTCTTATATCTTTCCGGTTTCCATCTGTTCTCTCTTTCTTCATGTTTTAACACGAAGAGAATATAACATGTTATACTTCAGAGTATAACATGATGACAAAGTATAACATGTTATACTTTGTTATCATATATCCATTGATTCCTCCTTTTCTGAAAGAGGAGAGTTTGAGCTAACTCAGCATTTCAGTGTAAGGGAGTTTCCTCAGCTGTGGGACAGTTTCCTCAGCCAGTGGTTGCTCATTGCAGACATTGGTAGCTAATACCTGGCAGTTTTGGCTAATATCTGACAGTGGTAACTCATTCCTGACAGTGGTGGCTCATTCCAGACAGTGGTAACTCATCCCTGACAGTGGTAACTCATTCTTGACAGTGGTAGCTGATCCCTGACAGTAGTAGCTCATTCCTGACAGTGGTAGCTGATCCCTGACATTATTTGCGCTATACAATGACTCCTAATATCATCGGAGGCGTTGCTAACAGCACGCAGTTAGTTTAAACATTAATAAACATATATATGAAATTGGCTTTGATTTACGTTAGTGTTTTCCGTGACGTCCAGGACATCTAATCTTCAAAGAATGTTATTAATAATAAAGATGATAATTATGTTCATTATTGTGTTTCTTGCCTGGCTTTTTGTCATCTTTTCTTATGTGGTTTCTTGTTTTCGTTCTATGTATTGAGTCTGGTTGTATGTTTTTTTTCAATCAGTTGTCTTTCTGTTCTGTAGCCGGTTGTGTATATTTTGGCAACCGGTTATCTGTCTTCAGCCAATTGTGTATTTGTATGCAGCCGGTTATGTATTTGTTTATGGTCAATTGTGCACTTGTTTACTGCCAGTTGCTTTAGGTATGTTTTTATCAAAACTTTACACTTATTTTATATTTTTCCCCGTGAATTTTGCATTTAATACTCCTTCCTTTATATTTTTTCCTGGTTAATCTGTCTCCTTTTAACAGTATTTGTTCTCACCCTCTCATATCACTTTTAATGTATAATATGTTCCCATTGTTTATCTCCCATTACAACGAATATTTATTTAATCTTCCCTATTATCGTTTAAAAAATTAATTATCTGTAACTTCATATTATTTCATAAGGTGCATTTCCATTCTCCGTATCCCCACCAATCATCCCTCCTTCCATACCTCCTCTTTCATCCAAAAATTCTGTCTAATTAAGACCATTCTATCCATCCATTATTTATTGATAATGTTCTATCTGTGCTCTCTAATCCTTGAATAGCGAAACTCTCTCTCTTTCTCTCTCTCTCTCTCTCTCTCTCTCTCTCTCTCTCTCTCTCTCTCTCTCTCTCTCTCTCTCTCTCTCTCTCTCTCTCTCTCTCTCTCTCTCTCTCTCTCTCTCTGTCTCTGTCTCTCTGTCTCTCTCCCTCTCTCCCTCTCTGTCTGCCTTATTCTTCACTTATAACTTTTTATCATATCTGTTTTCCAACGAATTTCCAAACACATATTTTTAACACATTTGTTTACATATACATACTTCCCTATAAAACGTCGTTTTATAAGAACATCACGAAAAATTAATAAAATAATAAATTCACTCTGCATAACAAAATATTGAATCTGATCGCATACCCTTACTTTACCCCAGCTGCCCCAAAACTTCAGACTATGAATGCCAGTGATGTCAATAATGTTTGCTTTCAATTTGGCCGGGTAAAAGTCGTGATTCTTTTATCAGGGTCGGCCTGGTAATCTTTACAGGGAGGAGCGCAAGATAGTGTTTACCTCAGGCAACATCAGCAGCTTCCCCCTTCTCCCCTCTCCACCTGCACCGTGGTATAATCTCCACTCGCGAAACTCGCTGTCGTGGTACGTTATCTATCTTTGTTATTATCTAGAATGGCGGTTCAGAAGGTGGATAGGGAATAGCGAGACAGAGGGAGAGGCTATACCCACTACTTAATACCGAGTCTTTGTTGACCAGACCACACACTAGAAATTGAAGGGACGACGACGTTTCGGTCCGTCCTGGACCATTCTCAAGTCGATTGTGATGAGGACAGGTAGGACAGGCATTAAATAGGCAAGAGAGAGCTGAGGAGGAAAGTCAGGTGTATGGGATAGTAGTAATGAGAACTGCAGCAGGCCTATTCGTCGTCGTCCCTTCAATTTCTAGTGTGTGGTCTGGTCAACATACTTCAGCCACGTTATTGTGACTCATCGCCTGCACCGAGTCTTTGCATGGCGATTCAATGAGGATATTTTTATTCTCTATTTCTAATTGTCTTTTTAATTGCTACTAAATCAAGTTGTTGTAACCAAAAGTATAATTTAATTGTGTGCGGAAGAAGAAGAAAATATTCAAGCGAATTTGAGATTTGATAATGGTAAGTATAATTCTTGTAATTCAGCTCTTCGATTTCATGCTTTGGAAATAATATAACTAGTAATAGTAGTAGAAGTAGTAGAATTGGTAGGAATAGTAATATTAGCCGTAGTAGTAGCCCTAGAAGTTGTTTTAGTAGTTGCATTAGTAGTAGTAGTAGCAGTAGTAGTAGTAGTAGTAGTAGTAGTAGTAGTAGTAGTAGCAGCAGTAGATGCAATAAAGTTGGTAACTTGACAGCAGAACAAACAAAATAATATATTCAATATTCCTTTCATATTGTAAAAATTCTATCCCATCTCGTGGTGTGGCATGATATCATTACCTAAATCATTATCTTGCTGTCAATGTAAACTGGATGAACTAGAGAGTAGGGAGAGAACCATTTGCTTTACTGATCTGATCTTATCAGTTCAAAGCCAGTAGCTAAAAGCATTTTCGCTTTTAAGAGCAAAATCTTAATAGCGGTTGCCTGTCTTGCTCATGTGTTGGAAGAACCACCTATGAGTCAGCTACCAAGCTCGCTCTAATTGTGTCTCCTTACTTGTCCTTCCTTCGTTACTTCTCTCTTCTTTGTCGTCCTGGGAAAGAGAATGGGAGTGACCAGGCCGACCCACATACACACACCTCGCTCTTCTGTCTCCCTGTCTTTGCCTGCCTTATTATCAGGCTATACTTCTTTGGTCCCAAGCTCCTTCCGTAGCTCTGAGGATATTTCCTGCTCCTTCCGTAGCTCTGAGGATATTTCCTGCTCCTTCCGTAGCTCTGAGGATATTTCCTGCTCCTTCCGTAGCTCTGAGGATATTTCCTGCTCCTTCCGTAGCTCTGAGGATATTTCCTGCTCCTTCCGTAGCTCTGAGGATATTTCCTGCTCCTCCGAGCTCTGAGGATATTTCCTGCTCCTTCCGTAGCTCTGAGGATATTTCCTGCTCCTTCCGTAGCTCTGAGGATATTTCCTCTTCTTCCGTAGCTCTGAGGATATTTCCTGCTCCTTCCGTAGCTCTGAGGATATTTCCTGCTCCTTCCGTAGCTCTGAGGATATTTCCTGCTCCTTCCGTAGCTCTGAGGATATTTCCTGCTCCTTCCGTAGCTCTGAGGATATTTCCTGCTCCTTCCGTAGCTCTGAGGATATTCCCTGCTCCTTCCGTTGCTCTGAGGATATTTCCTGCTCCTTCCGTAGCTCTGAGAATATTCCCTGCTCCCTCCGTTACTCTTTTCATCCTACCTTGTTTTCCTAACTTTCTCCGTTACTTCTAGGAATTCCTTAGCTACCTCCTCGTTGCCAGGATTTTATTCCTAACACCTAGGGTTTTCTTAGCTCCTTCTCTGACAACCATGATTGTCGTACCTCCTTCTCTGAAGCATCTTATGAATAAGAAAATATCGATGACGATAATCTCACCAAAAGCATGAATAGTGGGTAGTCAACATTGCAAACAAAAGCATATGCCCCGACAGAGGCCGTAAATTATGAAATTGAGAATAATTCACATGATTTCATCATTCATTTCGGCTCTAAATCTGCGCTCCAGGCATTGTTATCCAGCCAGCACATAAATAGTATACAACTCATCACATAAATCCTACATATGGGTAAAGGAACAATCCGGGATTCGAAATGCATCTCTAAGCGTCAGACCAAAAATAAAAATGTGAAAATGATTTTTGGAGAGTTAATTTTTCAACTTTCCCCGACAGTAAAGAATAGAAATGTTGAAAGATTCGTTTTGAATGTTAGAATTGTTAATCTTACCCTTGCGGTCATATTCAACAATATATGTTTGCAAGAAAGACTGCTGCCAATATATATATATATATATATATATATAGATATATATATATATATATATATATATATATATATATATATGTATATATATATATATAATATATTATATATATATATATATATATATATATATATATATATATATATATATATATATATATATATATATTAGTATATTTTGGTAGCAGTCTTTCCTGTAGACATATATTATAAATATGACGAAAAAGTAAGATTAATAATTCTAACACGAATTTTCTCAATCTTTCGTACATTACGCTTCACTGTTGGAGGTAAATCAAAAAAATCACTTCTCCAAAATTCATTTTTATTTCTAGTCTGACGCGACACGGGCGCGTTTCGTAAAACTTATTACATTTTCAAAGACTTCACAAATACACAACTGATTAGAACTTACAAAAGTTCAAAAGTTCTTCGTAAGTTCTAATCAGTTGTGTATTTGTGAAGTCTTTGAAAATGTAATAAGTTTACGAAACGCGCCCGTGTCGCGTCAGACTAGAAATAAAAATGAATTTTGGAGAAGTGATTTTTGATTTACCTCCAACAGTGAAGCGTAATGTACGAAAGATTGAGAAAATTCGTGTTAGAATTATTATCTTACTTTTTCGGTCATATTTAATATATATATATATATATATATATATATATAATATATATATATATATATATATATATATATATATATATATATGTATGTATGTATGGCTTACAACTATATATATAACATTGTGGCCAGATACCTAGGTGTACCTTACTGCAGAGACCAGACTTGAAAAGAGGGAAGGAACACTACCAAACATACCTGTAAATGAGAAGAAAATATTGTATTAGTAAACAACACTAACTACAGTAGTTTACAATAGTAAAGAACAATTAATCAGAATGTGTAAACCGTTGAAGAAAAACGAGAAGATTGAGAAGAAATGGCACAGCAGAAAATACAAAATACAAAACGCTTACGTTTATAAACCAACATGTGCATTATACACAACCAACGGGAGACCAACTTTTGAGTATGCAGCGACAGCATGGAATCCAAAGAAACAAAAGTCAAAGATATAAAAGGTATAACAAAGCTAGCTTCTGAGCCAAAAGGAATTGATTTCTGAGAACAGACTGAGGGACCACGCCACTGGACCCAAAAACCATGAGAGACATGATTACAATATACAAAAACCTAATATAAATTGAAAGTGAAAGAACTAATAGAACTACGGAATAACGATGAAAACTGAAGACTTAAAAAACCACATATGTCAGAAAAAACTCCTGCGAAAGAGTTAAAAAAATATCGAAAAACTTGCAGAAAAAACTGAACACCTGGTTCTAAAAAATAATATGAAAAGAAAAATGAGAGAACAAGAACAAATGCACACATATATATACATATTTATCTGCCAATCTGCAATACAACCCATTAAAACAAATTCCCAATCGTCCCTAATTTCTTCAACCACCCTCTTACCCCTATTCTCCCCCCCCCCCTCTAAAATAAAGCAGATCGAACAGATTTGAAAATTGGCCTAAATATCGGAGAGCGGACTTCGACTCTCTTCATTAGCGCGATAAATGACTGCTCCGGGGCGCTTGTGGAGGCTAAATCGGAGAATATGAACGCGCCGAAGACCCTCATAAAACCCAGGATGGTCAATAATCAGTAATGCAAGCGCCGCCTTCCCCCGTCTATTAAGCTGTTTTGAGAGATCAACAGTTAAGGAACCCATGAAAAGCAAGGGATAATTACGGACTAATGAGGAACCTTCTTGATCACAGGTATATGCTAAAAGCGTGGGATAATGAGGCGTGTGGTTTGCATATCATCTTCGAAAATCTAAAATTCAGAGGAAATTATTTTTTTAATTAAAAAAAGGGAAGGAAGTACCAACTCTGACTGGAAGAAGGGAACCCTTAGCCTCGGAGGAAATCACACAAAGGGAAACAGAGAATATCGAGAGATGAACAAAGTGCAATGAGTAAGGACAGTAAATGTGTAACAGAATTAACATATGTTAAACTTAGACGAATAATATATATAGAAAATGGCACGAAAAAAATACAAAATAATGGATGACAAGAAAAGAAAATGAGAAAAAACGAGGAATTATCTATTCCAAGAATAACAAACAACGAATGGGAGAAAGCAAATAGAAAGTCAACAAAAGATATGCAACATAGAGAGAGAGACGTGAAGCAGAATGGAGAAAAATATACAGAAAATTAATGGAAAATAAACAGAAGGAGAAACAACACGATGGGCGTATGAATTTAGGAATCCAAAATGCTCTCAAGACTCCTGGTTGGTTCCCACGGTCCTCACTTGGTTCCCATGGTCCTCACTTGGTTCCCACGACCCTCGCTTGGTTCCCACGACCCTCGCTTGGTTCCCACGACCCTCGCTTGGTTCCCACGACCCTCGCTTGGTTCCCACGACCCTCGCTTGGTTCCCACGACCCTCGCTTGGTTCCCATGGGTTCCCACGACCCTCGCTTGGTTCCCATGGTCCTCACTTGGTTCCCACGACCCTCACTTGGTTTCCCCACGACCCTCGCTTGGTTCCCACGACCCTCGCTTGGTTCCCACGACCCTCGCTTGGTTCCCACGACCCTCGCTTGGTTCCCACGACCCTCACTTGGTTCCCACGACCTCGCTTGGTTCCCACGACCCTCGCTTGGTTCCCACGACCCTCGCTTGTTTCCCACGACCCTCGCTTGGTTCCCACGACCCTCGCTTGGTTCCCACGACCCTCGCTTGGTTCCCACGACCCTCGCTTGGTTCCCACGACCCTCGCTTGGTTCCCACGACCCTCGCTTGGTTCCCACGACCCTCGCTTGGTTCCCACGACGACTTGGTTCTCACGACCCTCCGCTGGTTCCCACGACCCTCGCTTGGTTCCCACGACCCTCGCTTGGTTCCCACGACCCTCGCTTTCCCACGACCCTCGCTTGGTTTCCCACGACCCTCGCTTGGTTCCCACGACCCTCGCTTGGTTCCCACGACCCTCGCTTGGTTCCCACGACCCTCGCTTGGTTCCACGACCCTTACTTGGTTCCCCACGACCCTCGCTTGGTTCCCACGACCCTCGCTTGGTTCCCACGACCCTCGCTTGGTTCCCACGACCCTCGCTTGGTTCCCACGACCCTCGCTTGGTTCCCACGACCCTCGCTTGGTTCCCACGACCCTCGCTTGGTTCCCACTCCCCTCGCTTGGTTCCCACGACCCTCGCTTGGTTCCACGACCCTCGCTTGGTTCCCCGACCCTCGCTTGGTTCCCACGACCCTCGCTTGGTTCCCAATAATCCCGTAATTTTCTGTTTCTCTTCTTGTGTTTGTTTTTGGGTGGGTCCATTTTCTAGCCTACAGTGTAAATGCACCAAGACAGATATGGTTAAGCGACGATGCTTTGAGAATTGTGATGGAAATGCTCAGTGGTCGATGAATAGGGTTTTGTTATATGTATATGTGTGTGTGTATGCATTTGTAGGTAATTTTGTTATATTTTATTGGGTAGTTAAGTCAGACAGTCTTTTATTTGAAGTTTGTGTTGCTCGGCATTTAGGCAATGTTGTTGAGATTGTCGCTTCGTGAGAAGCTAAAGAGGTTTATCCTCTATGACATGTCTTATGGAGATTCATAAAGTATTATCTGAAATATGAGACATATTCAGCGATACTAGCCTTATAAATTTAGAGTGCAATGCTCTCTAGTATTTTACTTTAGGTAAAGCGTCTTCTTATACTTGCGTAATTATTTAGAAAAATAAGAAAAATAACCAATCTAATCTGAGGTGTGAAATAACGCCGACAACATGAGTAAAATTCCTGAGATTGGTCTGTACGACGAAGGGAAGGGAAGTACGGAAGTGAAGCCTGAAATGGGTCCTGATGTTTGCCAATATTGGTTTTGATACTGATAATTTATTTACACGCCCGAACCTAACCTAACCTAACCTAACCTAACCGAGGACCCACGAATACAAAACGGGACAGCCTGCAAATTTTTCTCCAGTTGCTAGGATTTATAATACGTTATATTTTGACGAAGGGGATTTATATGTAAGCATGTGATGTACTATCCGAGAAGACAAATTCTTTGTTTACAAAAATAGTAATTCTCTTATGGTGCTCATTATTATTATTATTATTATTATTATTATTATTATTATTATTATTATTATTATTATTATTAATATAAAATATTTTTTATTTATAATAACATTTTAAACAAATGGTCAGAGTTTCTTTCACTCTGATTCCCCTGTTTTCTTAGCGGTAAATAGATACTGGGAATTAGACAGCTGCTACG